GCCTGATGCGGGACTCGATCCTGGGACTCCAGGATCATGACCTGAGCCGAAGGCAGTCGCTTAACCAACTGAGCCACCCAGGCACCCGAGACTCTGCATTTCTAACAAGCGCCCAAGTGATGCTGCTGGTCTCTATTGCTCTGTGTGTTTTCCAAATTTACCTAAATGGTAACCTATTCTGCATTTCTTCCTATAACTTATTACTTAGCCTAGTTTCTAGAGCTACAACTGTGTTTCAAGCTATTCCATTACTTTCATCTGTTGTATGGATTTTTTCCATTTATGAAGAGAATACAGTATTTCCAGTTTGCCAGTAATGACAAACAGGTTGTTTCCAAACAATGCTCCAATGATCTAGTGCATAGGGCCCCATAATGCTTGACATATCTGTTGACTCAATAAATGTAGGGCATATCTTGTGCACACGAGCAAGGATTTCTCTAAGGTATATGCCTAGATTTGCAGGTTGGTGGGGGAATGAACAGCTTCATCTTTACTCCAAAGCACCTGTCCTTATTTGCATTCACAACCAGGGTCTGAATGCTACCTTTTCTTCAGGTCTTTTCCCACTCTTGGTATTGTAAGACACTGACTTTTGCGTCAATTAGTTTTATCAAGTGGCATCATTACCAGTGAGGCTAGAGTGCTTTTCATGACTGAATAGACCTATAACTGATTGAATTTCTCTAACAGCTATGGGTCTATTCAGGTTTTCTCCTTCCTTTTCAGTCAGTTTTGGATATTAATATTTTTCTAGGCAATTGTCCATTCCCTTTATGTAGTCTTCATTTTCAAAAATATTGATTAGATCTGCAGTCATTTCTCCTTTTTATCCCTAATATTACTAACCTGTGCTCTTCTGCTGCTTGAGCAGTCTTGCTGGAGGTTCACTGATTTTATTTTTTTCAAATAGTAAACTTTTGTTTTTGTGGATATTCTTCATTGCTTTTTGTTTTCTACTTCAGAACTTTTTGCTTTTTTATTTCTCCCCATCCGAGATCTTTGGGTTCACTCTGTATTTCTAATTTTATACTCTCTTGAGTGTTTAACTCACTAGTTTGCATTTATTTTAAAAAGTATATACACCTAGGGACACCTGCGTGGCTCAGTCAGTTAAGCGTCCGACTCTTGATTTCAGCTAAGGTCAGGATCTCAGAGTTGTGAGATCGAGCCCTGCATTGGGCTCCACACTGGGCATGGAGCCTGCTTAACATTCTCTCTCTCCTTCTGCCCCTCCGCACCCCACTTGCACTCTCTCACTAAAAAAAAAAAAAAAGTTTGTAATTCTCACTCTAAATATCACGTTAGCTACTTTCTTTTTTTTAAGGTGAAAACGTTTAAGATTTAAGATCTACTCTCTTAACAACTTTCAAGTATATAATACAGTACTGTTAACTATAGTCACCATTCCCAATATTAGATCTCTGGAACTTAGTCCTCTTATAACTGGAAGTCTGTCCCCTTTAACATTTTCCCCTTTCTGCACTCCCTTAACTCCTAAAACCCACCATTTTACTCTGTTTCTAAATGAAATCATACATTATTTGTCTTTCTCTGGCTTATTTCACTTAGCATTATGCCCTCAAGGTCCATCGATGTCATAGATGCCAAGCTTTCCTTTTTTAATAGCTGGATAATATTCTGCTCTGTGTGTGTGTATGCAGACATAAAATGGCATTTTCTTTATCCATTCATCCATTGATGGGCACTGAGGTTATTTCCATGTCTTGGCTAGTTGAATAATGCTGCAATGAACATGGGGGTGCAGATATTGCTTTGGTATAGTGATTTCATTTCCTTCAGATAGATACCCAGAAGTGGGGTTGTAAGATTATATGGTATTTCTATTTTTAATTTTTGAAGGAACCTCCATATTGTTTTTTTTATAGTGGCTGCACCAATTTACATGGCCCCAACAAAGCAGAAAGGTCCTCTTTTCTCTACATCCTCACCAACACTTGTTCCATTTCTTATATTTTTGATAAACAGCCATTCTAACAGTTATGAGGTTTTATTTCATTGTGGTTTTGATGTGCATCTCCCTGATGATTAGGGATCTTGAACATTTTCCATGTACCTGTTGGCCATTTGTATGTTTTCTTCAGAAAGATGTCTACTTAGGTCCTCTGCCCATTTTAAAATCAGATCATTTTGTTGTTATTGAGTTGTATGAGTTTCTTATACTTATTTGGATATTAATCCCTGATACATGGTTTACAAATATTTTTTCCCATTCTGTAGGTTGCCTCTTCATTTTGTTGATTGTTTCTTTTGCTGTGTGCTTTAGCTACCTTCTATACATGGATAGACAGTACTTGCATGGTGGTTCAGTTTTAAATATTGCATAATCTCTGTTGAAATGTCCTCTTTGACTCGGGAATAAAAGAAGTGTCAGCTTCTATATGTCTTTCTAAGCTATCTGATTATAACTTTTAAAATTTTATTTCTCAGTACTTTGTTAAAGTGGACACACATACATGATGTTTGTGTTTAGAAGGTAACCATTTTGCACACAGAAATTATTTTAAAAACCAGCCATTTGTAGACGTTTTAGAACCACCTACCATGTTGACAAAGTCAAAACAAAACAATTAACAAAGTTTTTAAGTTATCAGTAACTTAGAGTTCAAGATAATTTGACCTCAACTGGGCTGAAGTCCACTTTGTAACATACTTGAAAAAAATGATAAAGAGCTGTTTAATGATTAACACATTTATCCTACTGAATTCTGTATTTTACTTCGGGGAATCTAAAATAGTTCAAACTGATGAGGTTTTATCATGGCTGGAATATTTTACGTTTTTGAGCTAAAGCAGATAATGTCATTTCCACATATATAAGGCCTTTAAACACAGTTTCTTGTCTGAGAATAAATAAACAAGAACCACAACAGGATGGTGCAAAGAAGTATTGATTAAATTGAGTAATAATTTCCCTAGATGCTCCATGTTGACTGGGAAATTTCTCGGCCAACATTTTTAAAAGTCAATTCATTTCCAAGTCCAATTATTGTGGAATTCCATATCCTATTGATGACCCATTCCCAATTGTACTTAATTCAACAACACTTCTGCATGAAAATGCACTGGATGGTATTATGTTTCATATTTTATCATATTTCATGTTTAACATCTTTATTAATAAATTGAGTTGTGCTTTAAAAAAAAATCAGTGAAATTGAGGTAGTTGGATAGCAGTTCTCACCATGTTCAAAACAAAGAGGCAACATCAGGTATCCAGTAAGCCTCCGTAAAAGACCACGTAGACAGGGAGACTGTGAAACACAGGTGCTTTCCTTTGCAGCTGCAAAGTTCTCCAACAGCTCAGCCTATAGCTAAGTGAGAGCTCAGTGCTTTGAAGCCCTCAACATGCTCATGTCTCAGTCCCAAGAGCTAATCTTCACTTGGCTCTATATTTTAGGATCACTGAGAATCAAGTGCTCTCAACTTCCTCTCTTGGGTAACACGACTCCTGATGAACTCTCAAATCCCCTTTACCGCCTTTGCCTAAAGGGCTTGCACCTGGAACCTCCTCTGGAGATAACACACACCTTCCGCTAGCCCCAGGTGGCAAATGGCTGACCAACACGGAAGTACAAAAGCTAGATGCCCTTGGTTCAAAGAGATCGGTGGTGCAGCTTATCCTCCAGGGCTTGCGATCAGGCTGAAGAGGGACTGTAGCTGAGACCAATAAACCTTTGCTCAGTCACTGCCTTGAACCCTTCCTGCTTCCCCTATTCCTCTTCTCTGAAGATCCCTTCCTCAGTAAATCACATGCACCCAAGTTCCTGTCTTGGTCTCTGTTTCTTAAAAACTCTACCTAACATAAGGTCAAACCAGAAAACCTGGGGACTTTTGAGATGATCCCTGGGGTCAGGGAAAGCACCAAGCAAATCAAAGAAAGAGGACTGCCTTCCTACAGGCTGCTAGTCAGAACCATCCCATCCAGAATGGGCCCATACCTGAGCAGGTGAGATGCTTGCAGGATGACCCAATGGAATGTGGGAAGGATATTTTGCCATATTTTATGCCATTTGGTTTGTAGATGAGCACACATATACTGAACGTATTTATTTTACTGGTAGTAGTGAACAATCAGAAGACAAGTGTTCTATAGCAACAACAATAAATCTTCGTAGCAGTTATAACAGCAGAATTCATAGCCAACACTAATAGGGATTATGAGTAGTGTGTGTATATGCACATAAATGTTGTGTTTGTTTATGCCTCTCAGCCAATGCTCCATCCCCACAGTGAGCACTCTCAGGCTTACCTTTCCCGTTCTGCTTTGTTCTTGATAGATTTATCTTGGCTGATGGCTTTGCTGTTTTCCATAGAAATCTTAGCCTGGTGTGCTCGCATTTCCTTGCTTTCCCTAAATATTAAAAGTAAACAAATGGGGGTTGGGGGGGAATGGAGAGTTAGTGTTTAGTGGGTACAAAGTTTCAATGGGGGAAGATAAAAAAGTCCTGGAGATGGATGGTGGTGATGGCTACACAACAGTGTGAGTGTACTGACTGCCAAACACTTTTAAAAATGGTTAAAATGGGGGTGCCTGGGTGGCTCAGTCAGTTAAGCGTCTGCCTTCGGCTCAGGTCATGATCCCAGAGTCCTGGGCTCGAGTCCTGCATCGGGCTCCTTGCTCAGGGAGGAGCCTGCTTCTCCTTCTCCCTCTCCTCCTGCTCCTTCTCTCTCTATCTCTCAAATCTTTAAAAAGTGAAAATGGCAAATTTTATGTTATGGATATTTATAATAAAAAAAATAAATTCTACATATAACAACAGAACTAGGTTCACTTTTCCCCCCACTATTGAGCTCATTGAGTTATTTTATATCCTGTGAAAAGGAGGGAAAGAGCCCCAATCCATGAGAAGCAGAGGTGGGTCACCTACTAGGGAAGTGACCATGATGAACTGGGATGAAGAGACATTACATTTGTCCATAAAAATATAAAGATTTTCCAGCTTTGCCCTACATTTCTTGGGATCAGATGGCCTGGAGGAGAGAGAGAGGATGTTCTGACCCTCACAAGTGACCTTCATGTTCTATGACAGCTCATGGGAATGAAGGGGACTGAGTAGTTTCAGATAAGCATGGGTTTTAGGGGAAAAAAAGGATGTTTACATTAGGCCCCTGGATCCCTGCATGTGCTGGAATGTCTGTGTGCTCATGAGAAAGACTCATAGATTATTTACTTGTACATTAAAGGTATACATTTTGGAGCACTGAAATGAGTATTATTAGCAAAGAATTTTTCCTGGAACCTATAGAGGTCTCCTTGAAACCTTGCCTGGAAATGAGTGACCAAGGAGTCAGGTAGTCTAAGTGGTATCTGCACTGTATCAAAAGAGATGAACAACACTGAGCCCACAGAGGTAGGAATATGCATAGAAACTCCTGGGTCCAAGAAAATGGCTCTCAAGTTGTTCCTTCAGTTAGTGTTAGTCAACTGACCATTACTTTATTCATTCATTCAACAAACACGGCTCAATGACCAAATGTGGCTGACCAGTCTTAAGAGGGCAAGGTTTTTTTTAACCAAGACATGTGATCGTGAGGAAGACACACAACCACAGGGTGCTTGAGAAAAAGCCCAAATGCTGTTGTTACTTGGAAAAATGCCCCGGCCGTGCACTTATTTTTTAAGCTAAACTAGTAATTAGATTATGTTCTCTTCAGATAACTTCCTAAGCAACACAAGAATTAGTTTACTTTCTTTTTTCCTTTTGAACAATGCTTACTGTTGAGGGCTAACTTTTTTCTTTATTCAATGACAAGAAAGAGGAGAGAGGAGCACCTCGTCCTGTGAAGTATCTTTGGGGAAGGAGGGATGCTTACAATCTGGTACCGCGGTAGCGGTCAAAGACAGAGTGGTGAGCAGACCTTTTTGTGTACCAAATCAAGAGCATCTTGCAAGGCAAAAAAGAAAAGATCACTCCTAATCCTATACAACTTCATAGAATAGAATGGACAGGGTACAGACCACTGACCTCCAGCAAAATTAGCACGGTCTACCTCATTTCGTTGCCTTGAATGAGAATTGGGCAACGATGGCAAGATGCTTCACATTCCTACGGCGGATCCATCACTCCAAAACCAGGCTGGGAATTCATGAACGCGCCCAGATAATTTATGCAGTTAGCATTTAAACACTTTTTTGTTTGCTTTGTTTGTACAATGCTTCAATTTTCTACTCTTTTGTGTGTATCAATAGACTGTAACAGTGGCATATCAGAGGCATGGCAAGCAAGCTGTAAAGGCTGTGATAAAAGGATGTAATTGACATCGACACTCTTCTGCTGGGGGCGGGGGCGGGGGAGTCTAGCTCATCATTTGCAGAATTTTAAATGTAATATTCAATTCATAAACCAATACTTCTTTGCTGTTTCTTGATTAGGCCTATCTTTCTAAAATTTCTAGAAGTCCTAATCATGTAAAGAAGGATCTCACCACATTTAGCCACTGAGTGATCAGATCCAATCTGATCGAGGAGCTTAACTGGTTGGTCTTTGTCTCCTTCCGTGTCCTCTCTCCTAAGAGGCTCCAGGCCATTTTCCAAAGCCCAGTGTTGGCCCTAACACTCCCTGAAGCCTCCATGTGAAGCCTCCTGCGAAGCTACTAGGGAGGCAGCAGAGTTCCTTCGGGCTGTGCTTTTTAGTATGCATCGTATACTATTTGTAATTCAACTTCATTTTTCATGTGAGTGATAAGACCTTGCCAACACTTGAAAGCCCTTCGATGGCAGAGGCCATTGCTTATAGTTTGTGTTGCTCACCTCAACCGTACAACATGATACACGTAACAGCTCAGTGTTATTACAAAATTAGGAGTTCCCTCTGGAGAAGGCGCACTTGCCTACCTGTCATGGGACAGTTTCAGCTGCTGGGTTTGCTGCTCATGGGCATTGATCAGTAGCTTTCTCAGGAGCTCACACTGCTGGCTGAGGTGCAGGTCCCGGATTTCTTGCTCCTCAGCACTGTGGGTGTTGATCATTTCTGACCACTCCTTTGTGTGCTGGGCCACTATCTCTTTGACCTGTGTGGGGGAAAAGGGGATGGTGCCACTTGGAACTCTCACAGATCGGGTTTGAACTGAAAGCACATCATGCATTTCAAATCCCACCCACCAATTTAGCTGGTGAATCAGTAGACACTCCAACTGCAAAAAATATGTACTAATCCAGGGGACTCAGGAAGTCCTAGCTTCTTAAAATAATCAATTGCTTTGGTTCTAAATATTCTGCCATGACCTATGATTTCACTGCTTAACTTGTCCGTGTTTCCTTTTGTCTGGACTCTGGGCTTCTTATGGATTCTCTCAGCTTCTCCTCATCCTTTTCTTCCTTCACATTCACATGGCCACAGTTCTGAATGGAGAAGCCCTAGGTTCTCTTTATCGCTGGATTATGACTCATTGTGTCAGCCCTACCAGATGTTGGGGTAGAAAGTCTTCCCCTCCCTATATCCATGCTCTTTGCAGTGTGGTTCTGTACCTTTCCTCATCAAGATCTAGCGTCCATTTCTCCACCTCCTTAAAATTGGCCGCCCTCGGGACTTGTTTTAGCCACGAGACAGTAGCCAATGTGGTGCAAGCAGTAGTTTGGAAAATGCTCCCTCTTTTGCTGTCTGGAATCCCAAGGCTGCCTTGGGACAGAGCCTGTGCTAGCCTGCTGGAGGATGAGAGGTCATACAGGAAAAAGCAACCAGCCGCCAGCTACCGACCTGGTGTCTGAGTACAGTCATCGATCCCAGCTGATGGCAGACACATGAGTGAGCCCTAATCACAATCCCAAGAACTACCCAACTGAGGATAGCCCAAATTCTGACCCACTCAATTGTAAGGTAAGGGGCACCTGGGTGGCTCAGTTGGTTGGGCGGCTGCCTTCGGCTCGGGTCATGGTCCTGGAGTCCCGGGATTGAGCCCCGCGTCAGGCTCCCTGCTCAGCGGGGAGTCTGCTTCTCCCTCTGACCCTCCTCCCTCATGCTCTCTGTCTCTCATTCTCTCTCTCTCAAATAAATAAATAAAATCTTAAAAAAAAAATAATTGTAAGGTAATTACTGGGAGGTGTCTTAAGTCACTAAATTTTGACCTGGTGTACTGTGCAGCAAACTGATATCATGGCCAAGGTTTCTACTTTCCTATCTGTGCAAAGCTTCTAGAAGTCATGGCATGGTGCACAGACACTAATTCTCAAACATTCCAGTTAAGAAGAGAGAGAGTGAAGAACAACTCTCGAAGACACATGGCTTCCTGCCTTTGTAACTTCACACGATGGACTCAAAACACATAGCACCGAGGAGAACCTCCATTTGAACCGTGTGGCTCGCCCATGTAGGCAGCAGGGCCACGGGGCGGATGACAGAGCTGCGTGGAGACACAGGGAGGCTGGCTGGTTTGACCAAAAGCTAGAGTTGGGAGTTTTAAGAGTACCACCCCTCCTCTTAACTATTATTGCTAGAAGAATTCTTTGCATTCTTTTTTTTTT